TCTTATTTTTTCCCCGTTCCTAGCCCTCCCTTCACCCCCTCCACCCTTCCCTATTTACAAAGACTTTATTTCCATTTTTTCCATTTCTCATCCTATCCTCTGAGGAAGAAGACTTGGGCTCCGCGCGCCTCTTGGGCCTCGCGGCAGAGCGCGCCCGCCGCCAGGGCCAGGGTGCCGTCGCGCTTGGCGCCGTCCAGGGCGGCGCTGCGCTCGTCCAGCAGCACCACGGCGTGGGAGTCTCCGGCCAGCAGGCGGCCGCGCAGCTCGGCGTTAGGCACGACGTGCTCCAGGCCCATGGCGCCCTTGGCCCGGCGGCGTACAATGGTGCTGAAGCGCACGTTGACCGAGCCTGCGATGTGGCCGGCGTTGAACGCGGGAACACGAGCGGCAGTCCATCAGCAGGCACTGCGCCGCGCGCTCCCGCAGCAGCGTCCGCAGACCTCCGCCGTCCAGGATACCCACCCATGACCATGGCCGGCCTCAGCGCCCCCAGCGTGCCCGTCCCTCGGGAGCTCTTTGTCCTCGGAAGCCAAGGGCAGGGCGTAGACTTTCGAGGAAAAGCCCGACCCTGGGTCTCTTTGTGTGGAACTTTAACCAGTCCTTGGACTGAGCGAGGGGGAGCTGTGGGGGACTCCGGGCAGCTCCTCGGCTCCTCGCAGCTCCCTGACAGCCCTCGGGCTCGCTTCGACCTAAGCCACCTTCTCCTTGGCAGCCTTCTCTAAATATCTTGTAGAATTCTGCAGTGAAGCCATCAGGACCCCGGGCTTTTCTTCATTAGTAAGTTTTTAATCACGTTTTCAATTTTGTTGATTGATATTGGGTTGTTTAGAACTTTTGGGTCTTCTTCATTCAACTTTGGTCATTGATATGTATCTAGAAATCTGTCCATTTCTTCTGTGTTTTCCATCTTACTGGTGTATAAGTTCTCAAAGTAGGTATTGATGATATTCTGGATTTTTTGCTAGGTCCATTGTAATTTAACCCTTTTCATTCCTAATTGGATGGATTTGGGTCTTTTCTTTCCTTTTTTTGATAAGGTTGCCTAAGGGTTTGTCAATTTTGTTTATGTTTTGAAGAACCAACTCTTGGCTTCATTGATTTTTTTTGTATCATTCTCTTAGTCTCCATTGCATTGATTTGTGCTCTGATCTTTATAATTTCCTCCCTTGTCTGAGCTTTGGGTTTGTCCTGCTCTTCTTTTTCTAGATGCTTGAGGTTCCACATTAGGTTGTTAATTTGAGCTTGCCCTGTTTTCCTAATATGAGTATTCACTCTATGAACTTCTCTGATAAGCCTGTTTCATTGTGTACCATAAATTTCAATATGTTATATTGGGACTGTGATT